TGCATCGCTAGTGGGACACCTCCCCCAGCACTAAAATGGCGTTGGAATGGTCGCGAGGTAATTTCAAGATCGAGAACAAAAAAGTTTATCATCACAGAGATAACTGACGGTTCACGTCTTAGTATCCAGCAATTAACATCGGAGAATGAAGGGCAATATGAGTGCGTGGCGACTAACACTGGTGGAGCAGATAGAATCGCGTCGGTTATAACAGTATTAGGTGCGTAGAATACCACATTTAATTGACGTCGAGATAAGTCTTTGTCGTATGATTTTTAGCTTTTCAAGCAGTGTTTAATGATCAATTTAGCATTCTCACAAGAAACGTGTTCCTGGGTGTGGCTGCATGTATGGCCCACAGCACGATTGGGGCTTTGTTTGTTCGTAGCGTGAGAAAACAGCCGACTTTTCGCGACGCCACCACTGGTTTCACCGAGAAATGACGTTTGACTAGCGAGCGCACAATTTCCATGCTGATGACGTGTCACTACAACGTTCTGCGTAGTGCTTCTGATTGGTCGTACTTCTTCGGAAATTTGCTTTAACCAATCAGAAGCACTTCTGAATTCTACGTAGTGACGCGTCATCAGCATGGAATTCCTGCGCTCGTTTCTTAGACGTCGTTTCGCGGGGACGAAATGTCGACTGTTTTCTCAGACTATGAATGGAATGTTTCATCCAACCGTCGAGGGCCAAAAGGAGAGGATATACCTAGTATTATTTTTGAAGGATACCCAATACAGGTCTATTTTCTTTTTTGTAGAGACGTTTCTCTATCATCGTGTCTTTGCTATGTATTATATTAGAAAATGCTTACAGCTGAGATTACTTTCCTTTTTATAGACGGAACACTTCCAAAGATTGAAGCTTCATCCACTTCCGTAGAACATATCACTAACTTGAGCCCTGTTTCCGTTCAAATTGGAACACGCGTCACAGTATTGTCCGGTGTTCGCCTGGAGATCACGTGCACAGCATCTGGAATCCCTGAACCTTCGATCTTTTGGCTTAGACAAGGGAAACAGATTGATTTCTCCGAAAGGTTTTCCGTTCATAATGGTACTCTTGTTGTTCGTGCCATTCGTCGGAGTGACGAGGGCTCGTTTACCTGTACTGCTAACAACACTATCGGGAAAACAGCGACTTCTACACAGGTAGACGTATTAGGTAAGAGCTTTAAAATTAACTTGCTTGTAAGCTTGATTACTGCAAGACACAGCCAGCCAATAACCCTTGAAACAACAAATACAGTTGTGTGAAAGCACCTCCACCACAACAACCGCTACCATTACTTACAACATCAATTTTATTCATCATGTAAAAATGTGGACAGTTCATGTATCAACAAATGCGAAATTGATTTCCGGGGCATCTGAAGTATTTCTGCTTATGGATTTCTTACTAATACATCAAAGTTCATTCTTCATTAAGAAAAGTGAAAATAACCGAAAATCGAAGAAGAGTTTTCCACTCGCAAAATAAAATCTGCATTGCAACGGAGGTAACAAATATTTCATTTCAGCGAAAGTTGTATTTTATTTTGAGTTCACTTATTTTTCTTAGAACCCATCAAGCCCCGAATAACGCAGACTGGAAGAAACTTAACTATAGAGCGCATCACAAGGCTATCAGAAGCTGTCGGAGGTAACATTCTCTGTCGAGATGGAATTGATTTGGAGCTGACGTGCACTGTGCAAGGAAGGCCGACACCACAGATTTTTTGGCTGCGAGGAAGCAAGACCGTGGGATCTGGATTTAAACTTGACCTCGGAATCCTTGAGGAGGAAAGTTCTGGAGATTACACATGCCTCGCAACTAACGTGGGTGGAGAGGACCGAAAAACAACAAGATTGAACGTCATATGTAAGGATAACCGGACGCCAAATGCTAAATGAACGTTCCCTATCGATTATCTAACCTAAGTTCATGCGCCCAGTATCAGTACGAGCTGTTTCAGCGTCAATCTCTGTTTCTAATTGTGAGATTTAAGGCTTTTTATCTTAAAAACTGACCCAAAATCATAAAACACGCTTACTTATGGATGTTCAAAGTAACTGGAAAACATAGCTACTGTTTGTTTCTCTGTTCACATGCGACAGCAATAGGCCATGTTCACGATGACGATTTTGACTACGTTGCTTTCTTATTTAAATTTGTCAATTCCACTGAGGTTTAAAGAAAAATAGCCCTAATTTGCACAAGAAAACAACAAACTGAAGGATTCTGGTAGTTGTAGTAAAATGACGTCATCGTGCAATTGCCCTATTCACGTATTAATCCTACTCACCATAATGCCGAGGTAGTGTGGCTTTTTGCCACAAACTTGTCATACGTTTTAAGGAGAGATTTAAAGCAAACACCTTTTGTAATTGCCAATATAAAGAAAATTCATCAGGAAAGCAGTAAACGGTGTCAGACTTATTCAATAAACCATTTTAGAGATAAAAGAGAGTTTAAGTAATTAAGAACGTCAAAATAAGCAATCCGACAACTCTGTAGTTTTACAACACTCACGTTTTTTTACGTGTCATCACGTGACTGAATTTGACTTGCATACGGTCATTAAAAGGTCGCCTCGAGGGAAATTACCCAACATATTAACTAATTGAAAGGGTTAACAGCGCTTGTTCACTTACAAGCTCTCGCTGCCATCGTCTTTTTAAGCTTCAAAATAAAGTTACATGTAATTAAACGAGCGTTTATTTTCCACTTCTAGCTGCCATTCCACCAAAGATTCAATCCAGTGACAAGACGATAGAAGCCTTTGAAGAAGGAGCGGCTCTGGTTGTCCCCATAGGAACACAGCTGCGAGTGGCGCAAGGAACCAAAATCGATTTTATTTGCCGCGTGTCCGGCTTTCCAACACCTACTGTGAGCTGGGCAGTTGGAAACCAAGTGTTAAACGACCGATTGGAGCGTCAAGGATATTTCGTTTCTCCGTATAACGGTACCAGTAGCACCCTTCTTGTCAGGACATCCAGGTCTTCTGCAAACGATGAAGTCTTCAGTTGTAGGGCATACAATGGCGGCGGTTCTAAGACGGTTTTCTCAAAAGTGAGGTTTTTCGGTAAGTAAAGCTTAACAAAAGTGTTGTGTTACTCTGTGTGGAATAGTTTTTGCCCTCTTTGGAGGGTAATTTTCGAGAATAGGGAATCTACGAACGCTAGTTGAGCGTAGGAAACGCCTGTTTTAATGTCACAAAATGGAGAGATACAACGGGACTTAAGAGGGATGATGGAGATGACTACTTGAGTGAAATTTTAAGAAAGTGAACCACCACGAGCTTAGCAGGGTCTCAAATTCAGGCTTACGTAGAACGTTACTGTTTTCTTACGAATATAATGTTTTCAAATTCTCCAGCGGTTTGTGGAAGCTGTGTAGCGATTGTTTCAGCAGTTCTGAACTTATTTTCATAACCTTTGTTTTTAACGTCTCCCACCTTGGCTACCCCAGGCACCCACTTTCAGTTCCGATGCGGGGCAAGATAGCTTTCTCAGCAATTCATTCTCACTAACTTAGGCTTTGCACACAAAACATAAAGCAAAAAATTGTTACACTTTAATTAAACTATTCAGTTATTGTGGAACTGAGGCGCATTTTGGTTCTGTTACAGAGCGTGTTGAGCCTTCAATCAAGTCAACATGGGTCACGGGATCAGTAGGTGTGAAGGAATCGCTTGTTACCAGGGATCCCTTCAAAGTCACTGTTGGCGACGATGTGCGGACATTCACTAAAACAAAGGTACGAGAATCCTTTTTTCTCAATCCCTGGTTTGAGTAATGCGAGTTCATACTGTTAGTTTTTGTGAGTTCATATATCATTTACTTTCCATTTAAAATTGGTTTTTCATTTAGCTAGTACTTTGTGGACTTCACTGGAACGACCTACACACACAGGTTTCTTCTTTTACGGAAGGTGCCCAAAAAAACTGCGTTTTCGTTTCTATGTAGTTGTGAAGTTGCTTTTCAAGGAACCGCAGCTCCTGCAGCTATCAACGTTATAACAGTTATTACCCTCTGCTTAGTCCTGGACGAATTTCAATCATTTATCAGGGGCACCTAACGAGAATACAGTTCAAAACCGCTTAAACATAGTATTGTTAAACGTATTTTAGTATTTAAACGGTAGACATAGGCATATTAAAATTTGTCATCTGGTCGGATTTCCTAGCTGAAAGTCTAGTGATGCGAAAATTATAGGGATCAAAACTTACCTTTTCGAAAATTTCAGCCAGAAAAAATGCTCCCGAAAATTCTAGGTGACCTTTTTAGGGTAAAAATCCGTTAAAAATGGGCAATTATACTATTTTTTAGATGTTCGAAAATCCTAGGAGAGGCAGGCAACAAGAAATTTTACAACAAATGTTCCGAAAATTCTAGATCTCAGATCGTCTTCCGAACAGATATATTCCGAAAATTGACGTTGGGTGCCCCTGATTTATCTCTAATTTAACTCTCACACGACGTTGGTCCTGTGTTTATCCTGCCATCAGGGAGTCACTTAATACTTTGCAACTTTAATTTTGTTCAGTTCACGATAGAATGTCCCGTGTTTGCCATACCCCTGGCAAAAGTCCAGTGGACGTTCAATGGAGGGCTGTTGCAAAGTAAACACCAGACTGTTAATAATGATTTGGTCCTAAGTGAGGAGAGCGATTTATCTGATGCCGGACGCTATGGCTGCTCTGCATCGAATCCTTTGGGAAATGACCGCGCCTGGTCAAATGTTTTTTTCTTGGGTAAGTGTTCTCTTTGTCTAAAATGTAAAAAGTAAAGAATCGTTATTTTACGTCGGTAGCTCGAAATAGTCTAGTCTGGTGGACAAGTATGACATTTCAAACTAGAAAAAGTCTGATTAACAAACATCGTGCGCTCATCTTCCTCACGCCTTATTGATATTCAACAGAGCCCAGAGCGCCGACCATCACAACAAGTGAATCCTCAGTACGGTTGCTGACCACAGTCGAATACACAACAACAATTGGCGCCAATATAACCACATTGGTTGGCAGCAATATTACATTCGTCTGCGCCTCTGAAGGACTGCCCAATCCTACCGTTTCTTGGCAGAAAGACGGCGTGGCTTTAAACGCTTCCAGCACGCTTTACAGGATGTTTGCTTTCGATAAAAATGCAACTGGAGTTTATTCTTGTGTGGCAGAGAACCTGGGTGGTTCCGTCATGGCTAATTCAACAGTGATAATACTTGGTTGGTAGAAACAACTTCCTTTTTAATACATCCAGGGCGCTTCATGTCATATTGGGGAAATTAAAACTGCCCAAACTATAAATAAAACCCTTTGCTTTACGTTGCTAACAATCTTACGTAATTACTTGACCATCCATTCGGTCATATTTTAACTAAAGAATTCAAAGTTTTCATAGTTAAGCACTCAAAGCTTGTAGACTACTAACTTATCCAGACAACTCGAATTCCAGAGGTTACTGCAGCTTGTTGGAGGTGTCCTGGCTGTTACAGAAATCATTTTGCTGAGCGCAATTTGAGATCTCCCTTAATTCGATTAAGGCCGGGTAACTTAAGAGTGTCATAGTTTCGCGATATTTATTTACTGATATTGTACGAAGGAATACTACATAATATTGTCACGTGTGAGAGTTTGGCTACTTTTTTCTTAGATCGTGAGATTGAATCAGCCACAGTTCCACGTATCATCGCATCTGGAACAAACCAAGTTGTCGTAGACGGCCGCAAAATAGTACAGCACACCATTGGGGGGAATGTAACTATTCTGGAAGGAAGGGACCTTCTTTTACGCTGCCCAACAGAAGGGTTTCCTGTACCGTCAATCTCCTGGCTCTTTAATGGGCTTCCTGTACAGATCAGTGACACTCTTCAGATTGATGACACCACAGGTAACTTGAAGGTTGTGGAGATGACCCCGGAAGACGATGGCGTGTACACCTGTGTCGCAACCAACATTGCCGGTGAAGCCCGAGAGGTTTCGTTTACAACTGTTGTCGGTGAGTTCTAAGAAATGATACACATAACGGTAAAGACCTCTATTTCCCTGTTCTCTCGCTTTCCTTGAAAAAGCCTCTTTTTACAACTTCTTATATTGTGGAAAAAGAAAAGGGGTACGAAAAGGGGTACGAATATGCAGGGGCACCCAAGGGGAAATTTTGAGAAAAAGACCTACAAGCAACAACAAAGCGTGAATAAAGTTTTCTGAGACTATTTTAAGCATTTTGGGAGATTGCTGGAAAAACGTTATCTGTTCCTCACTCCCAGCAAGACTGATGGAAGAGTTCCCAGCCAGCAAACTTACAACCTGCAACCTGACTTACTAGGAAGTTTCATAGGGCACAATTCAGATCTTGAGTGGTAAGTAACCCATACAAGTGACCCGTAGCAGCTATTCTAGTCTTCAAATCCCCTCTGACACCCTAAATTATCTTTTTCCCAGCAACACTTTTCTTCCAAGGATTATTTTTTCTTCAAAATCTCCCAGCCAGCAAAAAAGGGGCCTGAAGAACAGATATTTTGAGGAACAGATCCATTGGGTGCCCCTGGAATATGCGAACCCCTAGTGTGGGGACGTTAGTAGGTTCAGGCAGCATGGTCTCCAGTAAATTTTGAAATTCAGGCTCTTATAAATCAGACGAAATAGCATTTTCACCACAAACGTAGCCATAACAACTTCTGGATCTCTCTTGTGACATGTTTGGATGTTTTAATTTAACCTGCTTCTTAGATCTGTCAGAGGTAGTCTAAGGTCAAATTTTGATGTAACGACTGTGCGAAGCACAATTGAGTTATATTATATATTGAATTACAAACCCCATCGAAGTGGGATACGCAAGGATGACCGATACATATGAAATGCTTTAATGCATCCAAGTACCTTGTGTGTTATTTCCCTCTGCCAGAACCGACGTTTCCCATCATCGATTCATCAAACATCTCAGTTGAAGTGTTTGATCCCACGCGCAAAGTTCTCAAAGTGAAGATCGGAACCAAGGTTACAACACTAACTGGGACACCCGTCGGTATTACTTGTGACGTCACTGGATTCCCTAAACCCAGTGTCAGCTGGATCAAAGACTCCACTACTATAACTGAATCCGACTCGGAACGCCTGCTTATGGGTAACAACAAGATCAACTTGCTGAGGGCTCAGAAGTCTGACTCGGGCTTATACATGTGTACCGCCTCTAGTCCCGGTGGGCAAACAGCAGTGGTCTCAAATATCACTTTTGTTGGTAAGAAATATTGAAGTCAGTGCCTTTTTGCCACTGTCGATAACATGATTAAAAAGCTTGTAAAATTCGTTGTAGTAAGGGACTGGAATTATAAAAATGACCGAACTTTCACGACATTCACTACCTAGTTCTCAAAGATGACTGATTTTGGTATTAGTTTCGTTTGCTCTTTATATATTAATTTCTTAACCTCTGCTTTGATTCCTTTTTTGATTATTTCTTAAGAATAAAGGGCAATAAATACTCTTCGGTATGAAAATAACATCTATTTCTCCATATCAGAGAGGCGGTCTTTTAGAAGTGTAAGAAAAGGCTTGAAACAGATCTTTCGAACCAATTTACGTCTCTTGATACTATAGACCTTATGCACCTTCCCGGGGCGATGAGACATGATGATGGTGATGATGGTTTATTGTTACGCATTGATTTTTGAATGATAATTCATCCATTATAAAAATAATCATATGGAAAAACGCCTAGAGGCTCATGCCCCACCATGTGTTCCTTTTATTTGTCATTACCACAACTTTTTTTACGTTGTGTGTGTGCTGTTTCTTTTGCTCCATCGAACAGAACCTGTGAAGCCGAAAATTTTCCCAGCATCAGAGGAGACCGAACTACTCAGACGCCTATCAGTGAACATTACAATTGGAGAAAAACTTACTGTGCTTGACAAAAGCAACGTCACTATAGAGTGTTTGGCGGAAGGAATCCCACCGCCTTCATTATCGTGGAGTAATGATGGCAAAAAAGTGGAGAATTCTGGAAGAAATTTCTTACATCTAAGAAGCGTCACTAAGGAAGATTCAGGGCGATACACTTGCTCAGCAGATAATTTCCTAGGATCCGACAGGCAGTCAGCTATACTCACTGTGAGAGGTAAAAAGACGAAATAAATATTTTGCCTATTTTTTTGTTGTTGTCCTTTCTCGTCTTGTCTTTTATGGTTTCTTTAATTACAATGTAAAGAATGGCCCGTGTTAACAAACTTTCTATTCCAATTTAAAAAAGTAAATGATAGATTTTCTAGTAACCTGTTACCTTACACTCTCAAAAATTTAGGTTTAGGCCTGGTTGGAACTTCTTCCAACACAACTAGTTTCATCGCTCTCAAAGTATCACCGTTGTTTTGTTGAACTCGCTCCAAAAACTCGAGCTGGTTTGGTCATGCTTAAGGGAGACAAAATGGCCAAAAAATAAAGCACAGAATAATAAGGAAAATTATGGGATGATAAATAAGTTAGACCTTGCAATAAACCGGTTGTTTACTATTTTGTTATTTATTTTTTTATTTTTATTCACAGTTGGAAGAAAGCCAACCATTAAGTCCAAAATTGAAGATGTTCGTATAACTGATAAGGTTACAGCCATCGAACTGGATATTGGAAGTAACCTCACATTAGTGGGAGGATCAAGTGTATCTATCTTTTGTAAAGCAGAAGGTGTGCCTGATCCTGCGATCACGTGGCTGCTTAATGGAAACCAAATGTTTGATTTTTCAAACAAGACCGTGCTTGTGGTGAAGAACCCTGACCTGCTTAATTTGCAGACTGTTTCGTGTTCGGCTGTTAGTTTTTTAGGCGCGGAAATACAAGAAAGTTACTTCACAATTCTCGGTAAGTGATTGATGATTCAGGAAAAAAGAAACAAAATCAAACAAACAAACAAACAAAAAAACCGATCCGACATCACCGTATCAGAAATGTATGTCTGTGGGAATCAATACTGTCCCAATATTATCATCACAGAACGCTTTGAAGATGAAATAAGCTGCCTGAAATATTCTCCTTTTGTCCTTATCATCAAGGCATATAGTGACGTAGATTGTTCTAACCCATCCTTAAAGCGCATTATCATTCTATATGCAAGTGACGCTAGTTTTCAACAAGAGTCCCTTAAATTTAACAGAGCCTTCCAAGCCTGTTGTGCAGATCGTTGATGATCCAAAGAACATAGAAGCTCAAGACCTAAGTCCCGTGACCTTGACCACTGGGGATAACGTGACAGCACTTACGAATACAAGTATTACCATTCAGTGTCCAACCACCGGCATACCAAAACCAACTGTCACTTGGACAAAAGATGGCCAGCAAATCCTGAGTGGGGGAAGGTACACAATTCAGGATGATGGTTCATTGATGATTAGTGAAGCTGATAAGGAAGACACTGCTCGATACACGTGCATTGCAGACAGTGTAGCAGGCAAAGACAGCGCATCAAGTGTCGTACAAGTTGTAGGTAAATAGTGCTGCAACAAATATATGTGTACATGTTTGTTAGCGATAGCTTTCAGTGGTACTAAAACCTTGAAAGGAGATTTTATGGGTCTTGAAAGACTACTTATAACCCCAAAATCACTGCAAGGGGTAAATGTTTAATGAGTCAGCTCTTTGTACTCGATCTGTAGAGATGTTCACAGACATTTAGGTTTACATCAGCTTACATCAGTTTCAAGGAGCTCACATGTAATTAAGACACTAAATTAGCATTCTGCCCGTTTAGAACCCGAACAACCAGCTGTCAAGGTTCCTGAATCTGGAGTTGAAATTCCTGTTGGTGACGGCGGTCCAGTGACTATGAACATCGGTGATAACGTGACAGCAGCTTCCAACACTACCATCACAATCAAGTGTCCAGTGAGTGGAGTACCAACACCCTCTGTTACCTGGACCAAAAATGGAGTTGATATTGATTCTGTAAAAGCACTTTCCATTACGGCGGACAACTCTCTAGTTCTTAAGGGAACGAAGATAGAAGATGGCGGAAAATACACTTGTAGCGCTCAAAGCAAATTTGGAAAGGATGATATCTCTTCAGTTGTTCGCATCATAGGCAAGTTTCCTTTTAATTTTTCTCCAAACTTACAAATTATGGTAAATATAGTGTAGTGACACTTTTGAAAATTTCGCAACAAATTTTGCTTTTTAGAATAAGTATTTCTTTTAAAAACTGAGTAACTTTCAATGGTGCATTTATATGCGGTGGTGTATTTTGTGGTGGAAACCCCTTTTGCTGGTTTCAAACGCTAAGTTTAACAACTCAACATCCAATTGTCTTCTCGTTTTGTAATTTGTAATGCTCTTTTTTCATAATTTGCAGAACCATCCAAACCTATCATTGACATTTCTGAAAAACCAAAGGCGATAGAAGCTCAGGATCGAAGTCCCATAACCTTGAACATCGGTGATAACGTCACAGCACTTACCAATACGAGTATAACCATTCAGTGTCCAACCACCGGTGTACCAAAACCATCTGTCACGTGGACAAAAGATGGCCAGGAAATCCCCAGTGGTGACAGGTACAGAGTACAGGATGATGGCTCATTGATGATTTATGAAGCTGGTGAAGAAGACAATGCTCGATACACGTGCACTGCAGACAGTGCTGCTGGAGAAGACAGCTCTACAAGCATGGTTAAAATCGTCGGTAAGAAACTTACACGATTTGTGTTAAGATTATCGACAATTGGAAAAATGGCATTTGCGTGGTGTATTCATCAGTTATAATAAATTGGTAATTTTATATGAAGTTATCGAATTTTAAATACCGAGGAAAATTACAGGAATTCACGAGATGATTAAACGAGAACTGCAGAGAAAATTCCCTGACAGGATTTAAGACAAGTGGCGGTTGAAGAAGAAAACGCTTTTCTGGTAAGCTTTGAAGTGTCATCCCTAATTGCTATTATCCTAAATATTCGATTTTGTCTTTCTAAATTCAATAGAACCAGCTAAGCCTGCCATTGAGGTCCCTGAATCCGGACGTGAAATTCCAGTCGGTGACGGCAGCCCAGTGACAATGAACATCGGTGATAACGTGACAGCAGCAACAAACACTACTATCACCATCAAGTGTCCAGTGAGTGGCGTACCAACACCTTCTGTCACGTGGATGAAGGATGGAGTGCCACTTGCTGGTGGAGAACGAGTCTACTTCAAAGCTGACAACTCGTTGGTAATAAAAGGTGTTATAACCAGTGCAAAGTACTCTTGCAGTGTTCAAAGTGTAGCTGGAACAAGCAGTTTGATGTCACTTGTCAATGTATTAGGTCAGTATTGCACAGTTTTACTGTGTTAGAGTATCTTCTTCAGTAATGCAGAATCTTTGTTAATATATTCGGTGCATTTGCTTCCTCAGGTCCGATTAAGCCTTTCGTTCAAACCTCTGCCAAACCAGAGGCGATAAATGCTCAAGATCGAAGTCCCATAACATTGACCATTGGTGATAATGTGACAGCACTAACCAATACAAGTATAACCATTCAGTGTCCTACCAGTGGCGTCCCAAAACCAACTGTCACGTGGACAAAAGATGGCCAGGATCTTCCAAGTGGTAGTAGATACATAGTACAGGATGATAGTTCATTGCTGATTATTGGAGCTGATAAAGTTGATAATGCTCGATATACATGCACTGCAGAGAGTTTGGTTGGCAAAGATGGCGCATCTAGCATCTTGGTGGTAGTTGGTAAGTGTCGACGAAAGGAGCCGTTACAAAATAGTTCCTCTTTAGAAAGTGGAAAGTGTGCTGATTCATTAAGCCTATTTCAAAAGTATGCATCTAAGAAAAAGTACAGCGCTGGTAAAGCGTAAATGTAATACTTGAAAGAAGTAACTCGTAATTATTCTTGAATATATTCAGAGCCAGCCAAACCAAAGATCCAAGTCTCTGAACCTGGGCGTGAGATTCCCGTTGGAGACGGCAGTCCCGTAACTATAAACATTGGTGATAACGTAACAGCAGCTTCAAACACGACCATCACCATCAAGTGTACAGCGACTGGAGTACCAACACCTTCTGTTACATGGACAAAAGATGGAGTAAAGCTTGTTCCTGGTGATGAATTTTACGTTACATATGAGGGGTCTCTCGTCCTTAAAGAAACTGACGTAAACGACAGCGCAGAATACACTTGCGTCGCTAAAAGCAAGTTTGGAAAAGATAACACCTCTTCAGTTGTCAAGATAAAAGGTTACTGCAAGCAACAATGAATTTTTAAATTCCGTCCAAACATTTACGTGTTTCTTTAAATAAACGTCTAAGTGTTAATCTGTACGTCTTTAACTTTGATCTGTTTGCTTCAAAGAACCCACCAAACCAGAGGTCATTATTCCTGGCAAGCCAAGAACGATAGAAGCCCTGGATCGAAGTCCCATAACGCTGACCATCGGTGATAATGTAACAGCACTTACCAATACAAGTATTACCATTCAGTGTCCTACCACCGGCGCACCAAAACCAACCGTCACTTGGACAAAAGATGGTGAAAAACTTCTTATTGGTGGCAAATACACAGTACAGGATGATAGTTCGTTAGTGATTAGTAAAACTGATGAAGACGACAATGCCCGATATACGTGCAATGCAGAAAGTGTGACTGGAAAAGACAGCACATCAAGCGTGGTGAAGGTTGTTGGTAAGTCATTAACTTCAATTTGGTACTGTTTATCTTTGCTACGACAAAATGCAGCTCATTGTTGTTGTACCGGCCAAACCAGCCAACTCAAAGAACAATGTTTTCATTCCAGCACCAATAAAGCCAGAAATCGATGTCCCGGAATCCGGACGCGATATTCCAGTTGGTGACGGCAGCCCAGTGACAATGAACATTGGTGATAACGTGACAGCAGCTTCCAACACTACCATCACGATCAAGTGTCCAGTGAGTGGAGTACCAACACCTTCTGTTACCTGGACAAAAGATGGACAAAACACTCTGGAAAGCGATAATGTCTTTATTAGAAGTGACAACTCTCTCGTCATAAAAAGAGCTGAAATAGAAGACAGTGCAAAGTTCATTTGCAGTGTACACAGTCAGTTTGGAAGAAAGAATATCTCATCTAAGGTCACTATAGTTGGTAAGGGCTACCATTTGCAAAGTAAGACGAAAGTACTTTGATGAAGTGTTGATGTTAAACATTTCCATTAATTAATTTGCTTTGTTTTTATTCTAGAAAGCTTAATAGAAGCCTAGGTAAAAAATCTTGTTGACTTTGTCTAAATGAAAATCTTTATTTTAAATGCATTTAAGATTCAAATTTAATTGCTGTCGGCCCATTTTTATATACGGCTCCCTCTATTAATCCTTTCGTGTTCTGTCAATGCGTCAAGAAATTGTTTAATGCTGCCATTTCACCGCTAAGACCAGAAGTCAATACTAATCAAGCGTTACTAATTTTTTAAGGGTCTTATACTGGTCAATTGGTATAGTAGCTTTATTACCTATGGTACATGTTAGTCACTTTGCAGCTAGTAAATACGCCGGGAAAAATAGTGGGAAGAATGGTTACATAAGAATTTTTTTAATCCAACAACTTGTTACCTGTTTTTAGCAGTTCGTTCTTTGATTATAATGTAAATTCTTTCATAGGACATTCCAAGCCTGTCTTGAAGACCCCGAAAGAGCCAAAAGCAATTGAATCGAAAGACCGCAGTCCAGTATCCATTTCGATTGGAGATAACGTAACAACACTTGCCAATACATCTATTACCATTACTTGTCCAAACACCGGCATACCAAAACCAGTTGTTACGTGGACAAAAGATGGGCGCGAAATCTCAGTGGGGGAGAGGTATACAGTACAGAACGATGGTTCATTGCTGATCAGTGAAGCTAATGAAGAAGATGATGCTCGATACACATGCACTGCGTACAGTGTGGCAGGCAAAGACAGTGCGACAAGTGTGGTAGAGCTTGTAGGTGAGCTATTAAAAACTTCTACCAGCGATTTTTTTAACCTTGTTTTGTTGTTGGTTGATTTGTCAAGTAAGATTGGGCTTCTGGCCATTTCAGTACAGCGTCTTTCAAGCCACTGTCGCTTTTATAGTACTACCAGTAGAATTATATATTGACCCAGTTCTGCAGGATATTTTTTATTCTCTATGAAGTAAGGTCGATGTCCTCCGTCATAATATTGGTTTCTGATACTTATATCGGTATGACAGATCTTGTAATAGCTTGGCTTTTGCTCAGATAGGAGGCATTTGTCGTGTTGTCGCAAAGGTCTTGGCCTGTTGGTCTTGAAGCTTAGGCTTTTCAGACCCGACGTGTTTTTACAAATAAACTGGAAGTGTTTTCTCTTTATACTCTTCCCTTAACCTTGTTCAACAGAGCCTAGTAAGCCAGCTATCAATGTTCCTGAACCTGGAGTCGCCATTCCAGTTGGTGACGGTAGTCCGATAACTATGAACATTGGTGATAACGTAACAGCTGCGGCGAACACTACGATCACAATCAGGTGTCCAGTTAGTGGGGTACCAACACCCTCTATTACCTGGAGAAAAGATGGAGTTGACGTTATCGAGGGCGAAAAACTGTCGATCATGAAAGATGATGCGTTGATAATAAAAGGTGCAGACTCTGAAGACAGCGCCAAGTACACTTGTAAGGTGGAGAGCCATTTCGGGGAGGAGAGCTTATCCTCCATGGTCAAAATAAAAGGCAAGTCTTTGTTTGAAATTGTGCTACCTCACACTCATGAACCGTGACGTTGGTAAGATGCTTTGAAATTCTCTAATACATTTCGCTCCCATGTTTGAGAGATAGAACAGTACTCTCGGAATTTGAGATCCGTGGCGAGTAAGAAAAAATTGTTGAAGGTGGTCCACAAAAAGGCAACGTTTTGTAAATCATAAAAGAACTAGAAAATTAAAAAAAATGGGACCCCATTACAGCGAATGTCTATGAAGAAGAAAAAGCTATAAGTGCTGTTGTTTTACCTAAAGAGAATGTCTCTTGGTTTTACTATATCATGTAAATTTCAAGCACATTGCTGCGACAAGCAAACAAATGTAATTTTATGGTACGTTCTTACCTTATCTGGCTTGGGTTGGTCTTAACCTTCCACTTCTGTTAAAAATCCTAATAGGGCCATCTAAACCAGTTATAAAAATTTCTGACAAGTCTACGAGTGTGCTGGCGCAGGACCTGACTCCTTTAACCTTGATCGCTGGTGATAACGTGACGGCACTGACCAATACAAGTATTACCATTCAGTGTCCTACCAGCGGTATACCAAAACCAACTGTTACGTGGACAAAAAATGGCCAGGAAATTCTCATTGGTGGCAGGTACAAAGTGAAGGATGATGGTTCGTTGCTGATTAGTGAAGCTGACGAGGTAGACAATGCTCGATACACGTGTACTGCAGGCAGTGTTTCTGGCAAAGACAGCGCTTCGAGCACCGTGAAAGTTGTCGGTAAGAAGATCACAGTTATAGCTGTATGCTACATTTTGCCATGTTTGTTATCTTGCGATTCAACGTTTTTTTCCCACTGGGTTTGCACGGTCGTATTAGCCAGCTTGAATCCTCTGTCCTATTTGTGTCCTTGACTCGTTTGGTCGTTGCCCGGGTATATCAAAATATATCCAAAATACCGTGCATTTGTTTTAGTTGCGTCGAAAATGGTACCACATATTAATTTCAAAATTTTTCCATGTAACATGTAGACCCCGTACGGCCAGCGATCGAGGTACCTAAATCCGGAAGCGAGATTCCTGTTGGTGATGGAGGCCCAGTGACAGCGAACATTGGTGATAACGTGACTGCGGCTTTAAACACTACAATTACCATCAAGTGTCCTGTTAGTGGAGTACCAACGCCTTCTGTTTCTTGGTTCAAGGATGGATCACCAATTTCCCAAGGGGAGCGATTGTCTTTGACATCTAATAGTTCTTTGGTTGTGAACAGAGCTGAAATGGGCGACAGCGCAAAGTATACTTGCAGTGTTCAAAGTGTTTTTGGAAAGGAAGATTTATCTACTACAATGACAATCATAGGTAAAATTCATTGCAAAAAAGTGCATGGACGTTAAATAATATTATCTTTTTGCCCGTTGTTATTCTACATTGTTGTACTCGTCAGAAATAACAGTTTTTAGGATCAAATGTTACCCATAGCTTACCAATGTATTTCATCTGTATGAGGAGGCAGCGTGGCCGAGTGGTTAGACCGCTGGACTTGCAATTCGGAGGCCCGGAGTTCAAGTCCCGCTCTAACAGCTAGCTTTATTTGTTCACTGTAGTCCTGTGTTCAAATCCTCGGCCATGCTTGTAAATAGCCAACTGGTTTGCCTTCGGCCAGTTGGGATTCTTGACCCTGTTAAGTTTTGCTGGGCCCCACTAGCATTAGGGCTATAAATGTCTTTTGTGCATTTCTAACAATTGGGTAGAAAGTCTTTCCAGTGATTTCGAGTATTTAAAGCCACGCTTTTTAGTCTGCCAGGTAGTGGAGAATAATATGCTAGCCATACTATAAATATTTTGTATTTCATGTAGCAGTAATGGTAGTAGTAATGTTGTGACGTGCATGAGATAATCTGATAATCATTTTCTGATTGCGTATTTATGTTATTTCAGAGCCAGTTGCACCTCAAATAATCCACTCAGTTGGTAACATAACGTCAGTAACCGAAGGCACAGTTAACATCACTATTGGCCAAAACCTTTTGACAGTAATAGATACTAAACTGTCAATCAATTGTACCGTAAAAGGCATTCCTATTCCTCACGTTACGTGGACAAAGGGGAACCAGACTCTTCCATCAGATGGCCGTATGACTCTTAGGAATGGAACTCTTGTTATAGTTGAATTAGAGACTTCCGACAGTGGTAATTATACATGCTCCTCGAAGAACTCTGCTGGAATGGCTGCATCTTCATCAAACGTGAACGTAAAAGGTAAAAAAGGTTCAGTAATTTAGTGAATCAACTTTTTCCAACATATTTGGGTTGTCCCTTTAAATATTGTATAGAGCTAAGGAGTTAGACGGAGCACTTGTAATGTCCAATTTTTATCCTGTAAAAATACCTCGATAACTCAAAAATCTTCAATTGCAAGGACTTATGAGCAAGTGCACATTATAAAGCGAGATATACCGTCTTTGCTTGGATAAAGGACCTCTAACTTATATTTTTTTTCTCAATGTAACGCCTCCTTCGCACGACGATCAATGTTTTGTCACGCCATGTTAATACGGGATTTCCGACAGCTGCTGATTTATTGTGATTCAATTTTGTCTTCAGTTCCATCCCTTCCAGAAATTATTCGCACAGGAGTTAAAGATGTACAAGTCTACGATTCTAGGTCAATAGAAGTTGTGGCTGGAAGCAAAGTCGTCACCATCAGTGGCAACAACGTAATACTCTCCTGTCCAGTACAAGGTTTTCCTACTCCGTCCATTCAGTGGCGAAAGGGGGACGTTCTTCTGGGCGAGGAGGAATCGACATTAACACTATTAGATACAGAAGTAAATGACAGTGGTCAATATACTTGTACGGCAACAAGTTCACTGGTGGAATTTTATGACTCTGCCACAACAAACTTGACTGTAATAGGTATGTGTTAAATATTAAAATATTGTAAAATAAGGCTCAAAACTCACCAGGTTTAGAATAGTTTTAAAAAAGGTTATAATCAACTGCAGTGGGGAAAACCGTTTTGTCAACGGTTTTCCTCACACTGAAGAAGGGTCATAGATACATCCGAAACATTTGTGCTTAAAAAAAAAACGTAGCATTTTTTAATATATCTTTACGGAATATCATCTCATCAGCTATCTAAGTACAAGTGTCATAAATCCCTGACGGTTTTTCCTTTCAACATTCATTCTATCTGGGCTAGCTGGCTTTAGTGAATGATTTATAAAGGCGCAAAATTATATAAATATTTGATTTCGTTGTTGTTTTCTTTGCAACATGATGTATTTTCTGCTGCTAAAATAAGGCAAGCATTTTCCTTCCTATACAGTCCAACCAAGTTAATAAACGGGCACAATTACTCCTACGACGGAGGTCTCCGTATTGAATAGAAGGAAAGCATATGAGAGTTAGACGATATCTTCAGGGCCACTAAACGTGTTTTGAATTCAGAGATGTCCTCATAAGAGAGATGTCTTGCGTAAACATAGTACCCTAGACAAACAGTGTTCTAACAGAAATTCTTTACAGCTCCGCAGGCTCCCGTGATATCCACTGACGAGCAAACCGTGGACGTTTTGAAAATTGAAAGAGTGTCAGTAACCGTTGGAGGTGTGGTAACTACCTTAGATGGTAACGGAGTGACCATACTTTGCCAAGTCAGCGGTTTTCCAAAACCACAGATCAGGTGGCTAAAAGATGGAGAGGTGGTGCAGGGAGGAGGGGACTCATATAATGTCGAGGCGGCTGTCGCAGATAATGGCAGTAATTACAGCTGCATAGCGAGTAATATTGCTGGTAGAGCAAAAGCCACAACCCAAATTAATATACTTGGTGAGTAAATTATGCATTTAGGTGAGACCCTAGCTCCAATCGAAATCTTCCAATCAGTTTTTAGAGAAGTGGCTAAAATCATACAATTTGCCGTGAAATTATTCTTTAGAAGATTATAACAGGCACCAGTTGTAAAAAGCCTGCCATCTCAACGTTTATTAAACCCTAGTATTTTCATCAGAACGTTTTGTCGGAGTTTTCAGACAATTCGCTACCTTAGCAAGGTATAAGTTCCTCGCTATACTCGTGCGGTTATCAACAGGCACATAGTTACTAATATTGTCTTTATTGAACTTATAGCTGGCCAAGCTCCAAAAATCGAATCATCCAGACAGAACATTGTCCACATGGCCATCGACTTTTTGGCGATAACAGTCGGAAGTAACGTGACCACCCTGGCTGATTCAGGATTGGAAATCAGTTGTCCTACCACTGGATTTCCTAAACCTTTCATTCAGTGGTACCGACATGGTAACCCTGTGCAACCTGGTATGATGCTCACTGTGGATCAGGAAACAGGGAGTTTATTTATCCTCAGCATATCTTATAGAAAAGGTGGCATGTTCACATGTGAAGCGAGCAACGCGCTGGGATCTGACCGTGCTTCGTCTCTCGTTGCAGTACGAGGTGAGAACCGCATACGTTGACAAGAAGACTGTTCACAGTCCCCAATTTTTTCGTAAGATCGTCAGGATCGAGTGCTTACCAGTACGGGCGGCTATCTTGGTTTTATATGTACCGAGGGGGTGGGCGTTGGGGCTTATAGCGGTGGGGGAAGGGAGTTGAGAGCACCCGCTCCCTTAGTAGATTTAACACTCATCGCCAGGCTAGACTAGGAACATTTGAAACCAAGATGGCCGCCCGTAACGCAAAGCGCTCGATCTCGACGATCTTACGGAAAATAGGGGACCGTCAACAGTCTAGTTGAGAAGGATATTTGGTGAGAATTCGAAATAGTAGATGGTACGACAGCCAGGGAAAACAGTGGATTGGAGCGTAAAAACTTATGTTCTTGGGCTGTTAACTCTAGACATACCCTTTGCAGGCGAGCTGGGAAAAAGTAGCCACGGAGCATCTGTTGTAGTAATGGTGTGGTGGTAAATTAGTGTGTGAATATCAAGGGATGTCATATGAACATGACTGGAGTTTTTTTTAAAATCGAACTTCTTCTTTTGACACCCTTGACATATGTTTAACAACAATTCACTGAATGATACTGAAACCTAAATATTGCTTTGGGTCTGATTTAAAAGTACCACAACGCTTACATTAGAAAAATTACAAAAATTGTCATTGTGATTTTGTTTCTATCTTTTAAATACCAAAAAGTTTTACCCAGTGCTCACCCACACAAATGTGATTTCGTCTCTGTTGTTTTCTAACTTATAGTACCACAACAACCACAGATAACGGTCTCTCATAAAGCAGTGAGTAACTTGGATAATCGAGAGCCCGTTACACTGACAATCGGTCAAAAGCTTACTGTGCTGAGTAGAACAAAGATATTGATCAAATGTCTCGTAACTGGGCTCCCCAAACCAGTCATCGCATGGAACCGAGAGGAAAACCAACTAGAAACAAGTGGTAATAAGCTGTTGAATGACTCTGTGCTAATCATCAAGAACATTACTAGCCAAGATTCTGGACTTTATTTATGCACAGCAAGCAACCTTGCTGGGAAGGTTTCTGCAGGATCCTTGGTCTATGTAACAGGTAAGGGGCAGTTAATTCAAGGATGGGTCAAGTTTACAAGACAATTGGAAACCCGAGTCCAATTGCCATGTCTCCTCCTTCATCCCGAAGATACGGTCATCTGTCTCTAAGACGGACACCTTTCGGACCGGAACTATGTGTCCGACTGAGAGAGATGTTCGTCTTAGTGACCTCAATAGATAGAAAAATGAGCCCGCGATAAAGTCAGGTAATGATGGTCGGCGGATGTCAATTGACCTTCATAAGGATGACGAATTATAGAGAGTCAAATAAAAGGAGTAAAGAAAGGCAGACAACAACTCTAGATGTCCATTTTCGTGACGTGACCGTTAAGAAGGAGCTGATTAAAGTATCTTTTTTTTTCACAGCTTTTGTTTTGAGATGGAGTGCGAAGAACTAGATTTTGCTGACAACCTTTTTTATTCTTTTGTTTCGCCTTAACGGGGTACTGTTCAGGAGGCCTGTCGGAGATGTTACCTTTGCAAATTGAGATGGTGGGAGTAGTATTGGATGGTGATGTAGACTAGTCCTTGAATCCAAATTAAACGTGATAACTTAAGGCACTCCCATTTGGTGTACCCACTATTATGAGCCAATTCATGCAGACACTTTGATGTTGCTTAGAACACACAATCAATTCACGCCTGTTTTAGGGTTTTACCTCACACTGATTGTGAAAGTGGTGTCAAACGTTTGAACAGATCAACTCGCGTAAAGGTGTAATATGAAATTTCCATCGTTAAATATAAAAACCTCTCTCGCTTATCTACCATTACCTTTCAAGAAATTATGCCATTAATTAAATGTTTCAGAAACGTCACCTCCAAGAATTGCTGCAGTTCACCAGGAACTAGAGCTTCCTCAGAGCGGTTCACTCTCGGTCGATGCCGGAACAAATGTCACGACCGTCACTGGTAATTCACTCTCCATCAGGTGTAACGCAACTGGATTTCCTGTGCCCCAGATCACGTGGAGTAAAGATGGTACTTCATTGAGTGCTAAAGGACCAGTGTACGTTTTGCCGACCCTTGAACCATCTGACTCTGGTCGGTATCAGTGCATTGCTACCAACGTTGATGGAGTTGATACACAGGATATACGAATCCACGTGTTGGGTAAATATTTGATATTAGCTCAAGAAAAAAAGCTAGATGAAAAATTCACCCTTCATATTTGCGCGGTGCAACTTTTTCTGTTTGGTATAGTTAGTAGAGTGGGAAGAACATGAACGCAGACGCAATTTTGCCAGAGTTTCAAACGCGTCTTTATGTTTTCTACCAGTGGGGTCTCATCTAAGCGTATCCCGAAAGATGAAATATCCCTTCAACCTCGGCGCTCCCTGATCTTTTTTCAGTGACGTCACTCAACCAAAAATACAAGTTTCATTCCTCAAAGTCCTAGGCGGGTAGACTCTCTTGCTAATCAAGAAAGCCTTTTTTCATTGCTTTCGTCTTGTTTTAGAGGCTTGCAAAGACAGAATTAAAGAGAAAAAACATTCTTGATTGCCAGGAAGGGCCATCTAAGATAACCATTTAATGATCTGTTACTTTTTGCTTAGATGGTACTGCACCTAATATCTCAAGCCCAAAGCAAAACATTTTATCGGTCAGCGGAGAAGATGAAGTCACCATCGTGGTCGGAGGAAACATAACAACTGTCGTTGGCACTGCTGTAAAGATTTTATGTCCAGTCATAGCCCTTCCCAGTGCGACGATTGGATGGCTTTTCAACGGTTCATCTGTAAAGGACAGAAGCGTTAGACTCGTTGACTCTGAAAACGCATCACTTACAATGACTAGTGTTACACCTGAAGATGTTGGTTCTTACACCTGTGTGGCCAAAAACGCGTATGGATCATCCTCGGAGACGACATACTTGTCTCTTATTAGTAAGACGTTTCCTACTGCTTTTTTGAATGTTTATACAGAAATCGATATTGGTCTTAACTAGGTGTACAGTGCATTCGACGAATAGTACAGAAAAGATGTTTAAACGCAATGATAGAAATGTGATGGTAAATTTTAAGCCTGATGAATACATGAGAAAGATGATTTTTCAGTCAGTGACACATGGGGTTCAGAGTAGTCTCCTGTGGTTTAGTGGTAGAGCATCTAGAGTAGCAACCAGGGCCCGGTTCCTAAAAGGTCTATGAGCGCTAATCCAGGATCATCCAAACCCTGCGGTAAGGAGGGGAGGGGGGGGGGCTTAGGCCCCTCCCCTGGATCCGCCACTGTTTGCATATTTTCTTTCGAGTCGCCTGTGTCAATGACTTAAAACTCATCTCTCTCAAGATGTTTGAAATAATTTCTCAAAGCGCACTGAGAAAGAAATATTAGGTTGAAGCATAGTTGCTGGGTTTCGAATCCTTTATGTTTCAGTAGATCGATAGTGTTTTTAGAAGGTCAGTTTTTGTTTGATATATGACTATACTGATCTCACTAATGACTCTCACTAGTTCCAGCTGAACCAAAGATACTGTCTTCAAACAATGATATTAATGATTATAAATCAACGAAGCATGACCTGGTCATTGGGGATAACCTAGAAACGTTAGTCGATACTACTGTGTACATCCGCTGTCAAGCTACTGGCAAGCCCTCTCCTGTTATATCGTGGAAGAAATCCGGTGTTCTGGTTCAGTCGAGCAGCAGATTGAAGATTGTCAACAACACACTGATACTACTCGACAGTACAAAGTCAGATACCGGCAATTACACCTGTGCAGCGACAAATGGCATTGGATTCGAAGAGAAGGCAACATTCCTCAAGTTCATATGTACGTTGGTAACCAGCTAGCATTAATGGAAATTACATTGTATTAGCCTATTCCAGACTCCACGATAGCAATGTACAGTTTTGCAGTAAAAGGTGATGCGAAAAACACGCTTGGGATGGGTAGAGAGACAGGGTCCATTTTCCCAGATGGCGCTCGTCTTACTTTTGCTTGGTTTGCTTTATTTTCGCGACGTCCCTACTATCCAAGAGGTTAACATTGTAACAGCTGTTCAAAGGACGATTATGATATCACCTAAATAAAGACGATAAGGATTACTAAGCGAATTCAAAGTTGTCTTTAACTTTATGATTAAATGCGCCTTGCGCAAATACATGTATTGATTGTAACATTGTGGCATCAGCATGCATAAGTGAATAATTATGGTCTTTCATTTGTTGTTTTCTTTAGCGCCAGAGAAACCTCTGATTAGAGGTGAGCCGTTTGATATTGAATCTTTCGATGGGCAGTCAGTCACAGTAGCTGTGGGAGGTACACTTAAAGTCCTTCAGAAAACCACTGTCAATATCCGCTGCGTTGCATCAGGAAAACCAGTACCCTCTGTGTTCTGGAATAGCACTGGCGACATGCAGCCAGCTAACAAATATGACATTAAGCAAGAGGGAACTTTATTAACAATTCGTGAAGTGGACACAAGAGATTCCGGGAAGTATATGTGCAACGCCGTCAACAAAGCCGGCAAAGATTCACAGGCAGCTGTTTTAGAAGTTGTTGGTAAGATCCACTTGGATTTGATCAGTTCAGCTCTTTTGTTAGTTAGCTTGCTTAAGTTCCCAGTCGTTCTCAATTTAGACACGATACTGGTTGCGAAGGAGTTCCTCTTTAATTGCATTAAATTATTGCCAAATTTACTTATCGCCAGCGGGCAAGAAATAATTTTTCAAAAGGCAAATAACTGAAAAATGCAGGATTACTTTTTAATTGGTGTCTGTAAAGAGAAAGTGCAGACCTAAGTTTAAGCATGTCTCAGAACGCTACCTGTCTTAGGAGCAAGTTTACATGGAAAGCTTGCATGTGAGAAATTACAACCCGTATAGTGGGCAGTGAACGGGCTGTCTAACCAACAGAATATTTCATTAGAAATACTACAAGTGAGCTTCAGTGAAGTCGAGCCGCGACCCAGCGATCGACAAAATAGCGTAAACAACCAGGAAAAAAATAAAGGTCTTTTAGAAAGTCTAAATATTTCATATCCATTTGCAGAAGCCGAACTTCCTATCATAACAACTTCCAATGCTACTGTTTCGTGGTATGACAAAGAACCCAGGGTGCTTCCCGTTGGAGGATCAGTACAAGTTCTCTCAGGAACGATGTTAACCTTAACTTGTGAGCACTCAGCTTTTCCTCAAGCGACTGTGGAATGGACTGTCCTAGACGAAGAAGGACAAGATTCAGGTCAAGATGCTGGCTATGAGGTTGTAAATGGTTCCCTTGTGCTCATGTCTTTACAGCCTACGGATACCGCTCGGTATGTCTGCTCTGTGCGAAACGTCGCGGGCTCTGCTTCGGCAACAACAGCTCTTAAAGTCGTTGGTGAGTTTAGTAACAGCTTGGTATACTAACAGTTTTCATTTACTTACTCTTGTGTTCCTTTATTCTTGGTAACTGACGAATAAAGTGTACACTGGACCTGTCAGAAAAGAGTAGGGTGACGATGGTTTATGGTCTAGGGTAAATGCGATGTTACCCTGTTGTAACCGTATATGAAGAAACACAAAATAAAACAAAATTCAAAGTGACTCTTGTATAAAATGATGTCGCTCTTATACGGTTTGTGGAAGTCACACTGAAACACAGGCATGCGATGATTCTTGTAATATGTGACGGTTACTAAATTGTTTTCATGTAACTTCGTTTGAAAGCACCTGGCAAGAGTTTTTGTTTCCTGACAAGAGTTTTTGTTTGTTCAAAGATCCTCAGCCACCAGACATCAGTTCTTCAGAGGAGAACATAGTTATGCTTTCGGGTATTGTTTCTGTACAAGCCACAGTGGGTGGTTCGGTTACAGTTCTCTCTGGCTCGTACATTACAATCACCTGCTCAGCTGACGGCGTCCCTAACCCAACAGTGACTTGGAGCAGAGGAGACAAGCCGCTTCGCGCGACTTCACCAGTCAATAACACAGCCATTCAATTTGTAATGTTAACAATTGAAGATGCTACTGTTGCTGACACAGGCGAATACCTATGTACCGCTAGGAGCGAAGTTGGTGCCGATCGGGAGTCTACAAAAGTGACTGTTATAGGTTGGTGTCTCTATACTGATATGTTTTCCTTTTGACGGCTGTGCCGCCCAGAGAACAATCTATGGGAATGTTTTCCTAATAAAGCAGAAATCAATCCGTAAGCTATTTACTCTGTGACTCCAGAAACTGAAGGGGCATGCCAACATTTGCCATCATTGAAAGAATTGTTCTCTTGGTTCTGGCCACAAAAGAAGGGGAACTAAGGCCCGGTTCAGATGCCAAACTTTTCATGAGTCGAACCTGATACATTGAATCAAGTGCATGAAAAGTTCGGCGTTTGAATCAGTTAGGAACGCCTATTTCGATTTCGAACGGCTCAGCTGTTCTTCCCACCTAGCCCAGCCGGGAATTTTGACCTTGGTGCGACTTTGGATCGGTTTTGATTCAGACGCTTAACTTTTCATGTGCCGAGCTCTAATGCATAAATTATTATAACGTATTTTGAATAGATACATGCTGTGCAAGTGTTTGATATCTCAGTCTTGTCAGCAAACTCAAAAATTTGAGCTCTTAATGTTTTAACGTTCTGCTATCTTGCAGACCCAAAAAAACCGATTATCAAGAAATCCTCCCTGGACACGATACCTCTTTCCAATAAGACGAAAGTTGATGTTCCAGTAGGAAGTGACATCACAGTGCTTTCATACACTCGTGTTAACATTACATGCCAGGCGAGTGGTATACCGACTCCGAAAATCACGTGGCTTAGAAAGGGTGTACCTATCAAATCTTATGACAACAGCTCTTTGGTGCTTAGCATCAGTGACCGTGATGATGCCGGACAGGTCACTTGTATTGCTGAGAATTTGGCGGGAAATGCAACGCAAAGCACGAAAATTGACGTCATCGGTAAGGAAATACACAACACCAATACAATGATTTTGAATATTGAGCCCTTTTAAAGATGTATTCCAAGTACAATTTGTAACCTCGTTGGAGTTGCCAAATGCATCATTGGAACTCATGTGGTAATAAGTGTGCAGCATAACAAATATCCATTATATATGTACTAGTCATTATTTGTTGTTCTTTTCTAATTTTGTGTTGTTTGCTTCCTTTTTTTTGGTTTGTTTTTCGTTTG